GGGAGTAGAGCAGTGGCGAGAGGACACATCCCTGAGGTGCTCCTGTGTTGATGGTGATGCTGTTAGAGACGCATCTACCCACCTTCACCACCTGAGTTCTGCCAGTGAGGAAGTCCAACACCCATGCACACAGACGGCTGTTAAGTCCCAGATCCCTGAGCTTTGTGAACAGTCTGCAGGGCACTATTGTGTTATGGGATTATTATGGGTGTATGGAAAGGCATTAACCAGTGTTGTTATACACATAACGGACTACATAACAAACATAACAAAGAGGCAATTTTAAATTGTAACTTTAAAATCACAAAAAAACATATTTTTTTTCTAATTTCTATAGCTGAAGCTATAAAAATGCCAAAGACAACACAGTTATATGCTGTTATACAGGCATGATATAGCATTTTTGTACCAACAAGGAAATTCCCAAAGAGCTATAAGCTGGAAATGTATGTCTTGACATGGTGTGCAGCGCTGAGGAAAAAATGGAGGAAAACTGGACAAAAAGAGAACAAAAGAAGAAGTGGTAGGTCTAAAAAAAACTATCTATCTGAAAGTCACGTCTTTAAGAAATAGAGAGAAAAAAAATCAAGCAAAGGCCTGAAAGAGGAACTGAAAGATGGCTCTGGCCCTTCAGCTTACACATCAACTGTTCAGTGAAACCTCATCAGAATGTCCTCTGTAGTAGGGTGGCTGCCAAGAAGTCATTCTTAAGGAAGGTAAACAAGAAGTGATAGAATGATGAATCCAAATTTGAAATCTTTGGCTCAGATTGTAAGGGAACACGGTGTGTGGTGGAGGCGCTGTCATTGTTTAGGGCTCATCTCAGCCAATAATGTTGGAGATCTTGTCAAAATGGATGGAACAGAATAGATTTTGATCCACCATGCAATACCATCTGAAAAGCATTTGATTTCCAGCGGCTTCAGCTTTCAGCAGGACAATGATGTTTGGTTTTTTAGCTTGTTGTTGGTGATTATGATGATATCATAATATATCATGCATGAATATGTAATTCACGTTTTATAAATGATAAAATATTACTGTCATGAAGTGAAAATGATATGACGTTGTACTAAGGTGTTATAGGTGTGAAAACCAAACAAATTGGTCATTTTATTAGATTTGTATTGGGTAGTTAGGCAACATGATCACTTCATAGCACATGATATGGATAAGAACCTTCAGGGGCCTTTGATGCACCTGCGTGATTTTGTGTATTATTATAATGAAAATGAATTTGCTGTGCATTTAATGTCTGCACTGTCAACCCATATGACACTGTGAGCCCACAGACAAAGGTAACAGCTGGAGGAAGATGGCAAAACATGGAGAGAAGGATTACAAGTAGAATATCTGTTCAATGACCGAACTCTAAAAGGATTATTTCAGTGTACTGAGGGCAGGTCGAGTCACCCGAGCAGTCTGCTCAGGTGCTCGTTTTGCCTCCTCTCCTCTTCCCAATCCACTTCCCCCATGTTTCTTCCCAAGATAATGACATTTCTTCCTGTTTTCTCTGACTTTCATCTCATTGGGACCCACATGTTCTGGGCAGAGCACGGGAGTACATATGGCTGGAGATGACAGATGGAAGACCAAGTCAGCCATTGCCACAGACAGTTCTACAAGCCCAGATGGGTTCTGAAAATTGCTCAGCATTTCCGCCACTCAACCA